AATGATTCTCTGATTTTTTTTTTATTTAAAGATAAACTAATGGGGGGGGGGGTACTGAGGATCTGGCTTGGGGTAAGAGCACTTTTTACTTATGCAAAAGAGGAAGGTTCCATTCCTGAACCTACATGATGGCATCAGACCCAGCTTCAGGGTGTTAGAAAACCTCTTTTGAGCATTATGCACAACTCTATATATGTACATGCATGTAGGCAAACACTTATAAACATAAAATATAAATCTTTAAAAACTAAATAGAAACTTGACCTTTTCTATCATTTGCTTATATTTTAATACATATGAAACTTTCTTTTGAGGTGAGCTATTGCTATTGCTATGTTACCCATGATGCTCTCGAATCACAGACTGTAAGGGTAAGGCTCTTCCTCACCCTTGCTCCCACCAGTCTACCTTAGAGGCTAGCACTACAGGCCTGCACCACCATGCCTGGGTGCCTAATCTTTTTTTCTCTTTTTAAAAAAACACATGAAAAAGACATTGTCTTAGCTATTTTTCTATTGCTGTGATAAAACTCATGCCCAAAAGCAACTTGCGAAGGGAAGGTTTTATTTCATCTTGTAGCCCAACATTTGGGAAGCCAAAAGCCATGAAGGAGTGCTGCTCTTTTTAATTTGCTCAGCCTGCTTTCTCGTAGCACCCAGGACCACCAGTCCAGAGGTGCCATTGCCCACAGTGAGCCGGAGCTTCTGAAGTCAATCATCAACCAAGAAAACGTGCCTCAGAACAGTCTGTTGAGGGCATTTTCTCAATTGAGGTTCCCTCTTCCAAAAGGACTCTAACTTGTGTCAAGCTGACATAAAACTAGCCAGCACAAGTATTAGCATATCCACTGAGATTTACATGGTTCAAATAATGATCCTACTACTTGAGTGACTTGAAATAGTAATTAGTCACCCACAGCTAATCACTGAACTGACCTGGAACTCAGATGCAGAGAAGGACGAGTGAAGAGCACAGGGGTCCAGACCAGTCTGGTGAAACCCACAGAAACAGCTGACCTGAACATCAGGGAACTCGTGCTCCCCAGACTGATAGCTGGGATTCCAGTATGGGACTGATCCAGTCCCCAGGAACATGGGTTTCTGTGAGGAAACCTCGGAAATCTACGGAACCTCCTGTAGAAGTTCAGCACCTATCCCTAGCATAGGTGTGGACTTTGGGAGCCCATTCCATATAGAGGAATACTCCCTGAGCCAAGACACATGCGGATGGGCCTAGGCCCTATCCCAAGGATACAATAGACTCTGATGACACCCTATGCAAGGCCTCATCATCCAGGGGGAGCAGAAAGGATATGTGATAAGTAGGGTTTTAGTTGGGGGGCGGGTGGTAGGGGAGGACTGGTGAGAGAAAGGAACTGAGATTGTCATGTAAAACTATCCTGTTTCAGTTGGCCTGAAAAAGGGAAAGCATATCGACCCCTGGGTGGAGCCCGGGTTGGGGGCCCTACCCTGCCTGGGGAGTGGTGGGTGGATGGGGTGGGGGGTAGGTTGGAGGTGGGGGAGAAGGTATGGGGGTGAGGGGAGGGACAGGGAGAGGGGAATTACATGTGAAACAAGCCTGTTCCCTAACTTGAATTAATAATAATAGTAATAATAATAAAAAGAGAAAAAAAAAACTATCCTGTTTCTAATTCAAATAAAAAACAGTTGAAAAAAAAAAAAAAGAAATAGCAATTGGTGCAACAACCACACAGAATCTGCCAAGAACCTACTAATGTTATCTATCAGTTTAGAATAATAAATTCTATTAAGTCATACACATTTAGGAACTGCACACAAGTTGATACTTAATAGTGTTCAATTTTTTTGTCTCTAACTTTTCTGTTTTATTACTTAGTGAGGTACTACAAAACAGGTTTGTCTATAAGCAATTCAGCTGTTTAAGACTATTACAATATCAGTGTTCTTCATAGTTAAACATTAATTTTCTTTCCCTGAACATAAAACAATGCCTCATTATACAAAAGAAACAACAGAAGACTAGCAAATAACAAAAACAACCTAATATTTTAATATTCATAACCATTATACTACTTGAAATAAAGTTGTTAATATTTAAAATTATAAGGCAAAACTAGCATTGGATAAAATATTCATTCTGGAAAATACTGTAAAGGAATCAAATTTTCCTTAGAAAATAAATAGATATATTCCTATTCTTAAGATTTCTATAGCCATCAATCAATTAATTCTGATGTTATTAATGAGTGAGAATATAAAGCAAGTTCAAGTGAGCCATAATTAATTATAATTATTTCATTTTCCTCAGTAATTACTTATTTTTCTTAATCCTAAAATAAAGTTGGTTATGGCAATTCTGCCTGCATGAATGTCTGTGCATTACATGCACGCAATGCCCAAGGAGTCCAGAAGAGGGCGACAGATTCCCTGGAACTGGAGTTTTTAAGTATTAACTACCTTGAATCCAGGGCTCTTTGCATGGCAGGCAAGCATTCTACCAACTAAACTACATCCCTCGCTCTAAAATAACTTTACCCAGAGAAGAAAAGCACTCATAGGCATATAAACAGATCTGCACAGCAATGGCCCAATAGTGTACACCACTATGCCCAGTGACAGTCCTGCCTGAGCTCAGGTGATACTTTGCTCAGAATGTCACACTGACAGATCCCTAACTGTTTGTTCTTTCTTATCTGCTTATTACATAGTTGCATCTTTCTCACATCTAATGATTAAAGAATGGGGAAGATCTGAGAAAATTCCTTTAGTCCAACAATCTCATTTATTTTTAAACATAAAATTTATGGTTTCTGAAGATTAAACCAACTTGCTAAGAACTGAAAAATGTGTGACAAATATTTCAAACTCCATTTTGATAAATAACAGAATTCATATTGCAAAGAAAAATAATAAGACAATCCTTATTTACTATTGTAACCCTGTTGATAAAAGAATATTTGAAGCATTGTTTAAAACACAGAAATAAAAAGGTAATCTCTGACTCATACCTGACTGTCTTAACTGCTTGTGGGATATATTTAACTACAAATAACTATTCCTGGGGAAAAGGTCTTCATATGTTGTGGACTTTTCTGTAATCAGAAACATCTAAGTCTAATCCAAACCCTGAATTTCAAACACCTTTAAGCAGGAAAAGATGTTATCTCTTAAGCCTAATTCCGAATGGATAAATTTTGTTTCAGTTGGAATTGATTAGCTATAAGTAGTGTTGGTAAATAAATATGGGAGCAGAAAGTTAATCAAACAGCAGCTCAAAACTTCAAGGTACTTCCTATGTAAAGAAGCCATGCTGAGGACACAGTCTACAATATCTATTTAGTCCTCCCATTTTGTAACAGAAGGAACCAGTCTCTGATTTTGTCAATGAGAAAACTGATGTCTTGAAATATTTAGTATTGACCCAAAACCATAGGGCTAAACTTTTAGTTCAGGCTTCATATGTTAGTGAGGTCCAAAGCCCTTCAACACCGTATAGCTGTAGAAACAACTAGTACATAATGGAATCCCTGGGCAATATAACACAGCATAATTCCTGACTCACTTATAATCAAACCAGGTAAGTACTACAAAATATAATGCCATGATAGGAAACATATATTATGCTACCCCATTCTTAAAAGATTAAAATAACAGTCTTGAATTATCATCTTGTTATATAAATACATATTAAAATATACCAAAATAAGTAAATTGCAGAGTCCAGAATGTTCCTCACTCAGTAGCTTTCACTTTGTGACAAACAATTTTGATATATTTTTATAATTCTTTGGTAATTTTATATAACATATTTTAATCATATTCCTATTCCCATTCTTCCTTAACTCTTCCCAGACCCTTACATCCACACATAACTGCAGCTGTCACATTTCATCAAAATGTTTCTTTTTGCAACAGATGGATAACGCTATAGAGTCACAACTACTCAAAATACAGTGAACAACTGACTGTGAGGGGCCTCCAACTGAGCCATGTGCAATACCATCCCTACAAGGAAGACTCAGAAGACATCTCAGAAGAGGGAGCAGAAGATTTTAAGAGTCAGAGGACCAGAATGTTTGCTGCAGGATAGTATCTTCTTTATTAAAAGAAAGTCTTTTTCACCCTTCCTCTTCAAAAGATTCTCTTTTTTTCAAGAAAAGTTCAAAGAGTTTTGACAATGCTATTCAAGAAAAATCTACCACGAATGATAAAAAAAAAAAAAAATCAAGAGAGCTAGCATGCCCCAGAGTTTCAGTTTGATTACAACATATGCTGGTAAGGTTGGGCTTAATAGGCTGAGGTTTTAATAAAAAGAAGTGTAAGAGATCAAAGAAAATTACACTCCATGGGGGGGGAAAAAAAAACAGGAGCAAAAGACAGCACTGAAAAAGTAAATGATGCCCAGAAAAACTGAAGGAAAAAGCACAATGAGAGGCTTGTCTAAACAGCAGTACAGATGATTATTCAGCCTTTTGGATAAGCCAGGTGTAGACAACTGTGTAGTACACTGGCAGAGGACACACACAGGCTTTGACATCTGGCCAGAGGAGTGTGCAGAAGGAACCATAATTGGATGAGTGATCTCGAGTGCATCACTTTTCCTAAGCTCTAGACTGTAAATAACTGTGATATAAGCAAGGGCTATAGAGACGATTAAATATTATAATACACATAAAACTTAACATTGTACCTAGCACAAAACTGTTCAACATTATGAGGAAATTTCAGAGAGGCAATAGCTCCAGGATTTCTGTCCAGACCTCCAAATTCCTATAAACATTTATTTTAATTATGTATGTATTTCTGAATAGAATATATGCAGATAAGTGTGAGTGCCTACAGAGAACTGAACAGGGTATTGGATCCATCAAAATGGGAGTTACAGATTGTTGTAAGCTGCCCCATTGGGTGCTGGGAATGGAAGTCAAGGCTCTGTAAGAGTGGTAAGAGCTCTCAATCATTGAGCCTTCTTTTCAACCTCTCTATGTTAAATTAAACAAACCAAAATGGATTCCTGAATAGTTTTTATAATTGGAGAATTTATTTAGCATATTTGAAGAGTTAGAAATACTGTTGAAAAACGTACACTTCAATTCATCTAAGATACCACTAGCAAAGAGGAAACAAGAATCCACACAAACTCCAGTTATGGAAGTATAGAACAATTTGATTCGAATCCCCCAACAAATAACTCTTGTTCCTGGTGGTTTAGTAAACTGATACAAAGTCTGGTTTTGATATATAGAATACTATTTTAAACCTTTCCTACATATTTAAAAAATATACAGGGGTTCAGAACATCCTCAATAAAGTGATAACTTTCTTTAATAGACTTCTGAAGTCAAAAGACCAGTGTGCAGACATGGTTAGCTTCTAAGTTAGAGTCATAGGCACGCTTCATTAAATGCTTTTTTAAAAAAAACAAACAAATAAGAAGTCTTAAGTGCTAAGAAGAAAAATCCTCAGCAGTGTGATAGAAATTTCAAACCGCATTCAAAAACAGACCATTATAAAACAAAATATTGACATCTCTAAAGTGTTTTTATGAGTATACTGCATCACCATCAGCACTAAGAATGCAGCTTTCTCTAATATAAATATCTATATAACAACTACACAAAAGTAGTTTCCTTTTAAAATAAGTTCATACACATGTATCCAATGCTGACAACTTAAACAACATCAGTATATGTATTGTGCTAAGAAAACATTAGGCACAGGCCACATAATATAATTTGTTTTCTGTAAAAAAAATCTAATATGAAAATACATATCACACAAATGAGTAATGGGTGGGACAGTTAGTTGTTGCAGATCTAACACATAATTTCAGTGTTTGACTTTTTCTAGAGGGCATTATGAGTAGCCCAAAGAGTGATACTACTTCATTATTGGTGACTGTTCTGTGTCTGCATTAGGACGACTGTGGACTTTATATAGAAAAGAAAAAAGCTTTTCTATAGCAAAAGGGACTTTAGGCACATGAACTAGCTTCAAAGAAAGCAGATAAAAAATGTTTCCAAAAATCGTTAAAATATTGAACACAACCTCCCAGCTACTAGATTGCTTTGTTAGGAAGAATACCTTGTTTAACATCTTGACTCCCTTAAATAGAGGATTTTTTCATCAGCTAAGACACTTCCAGAGTGTGTTCCACAAGAATGAGATGGAGAAAAATTGAAAAGGCAATAGCAGGCGATAGGGAAAGGGAGGAGAAACCAAAAGTCATTTTACATAAGAAACATGTAAATACTGCTCCTTTCTGTTTGTAGTGGAATATCTGTGCTGTGGAGAAGATGACAAGAACATAAACACAGGGTTTGTATGAAAAATAATAAAATGTAACATTTACTGTATACCCTCCCTAAAGACAACACAATTGATGCAGATTGGCATGTCTCAATACTCTGGTGGAAAGGTTATACTTGGCCTCATATATATACTTGCACTTTTCATAAAGGGCAGTTTAGCAAATAATAAACTGCCACAAGTACAAAGAGTAAAACACAGAATAAGCCTAAATAAAAGACAGAGACATAGGCAGAGAGGACACAAGAAAAGAGATGCCACGGAGTGCGCATGTTTTGTACATTTGAAGTACCTCTTCGACCCTAAGTGATGAGGATAAAACACTGAACACATATTCACAAGCTGTAATTCTCTTATCAGATTATTCTCTATACATCCTTTCCTTTTGCTTTTTTTCTTACACAGAAAGAAAATAAAAGAGACCTTTAATCTCATTCTTCACTTCATAGTCAACTATTCACATAAATATTTCTCTAGGGCAAATTTCCAAATAAATCAAGAATACAATCCAAAACCACTGTCACATTACATTTGATTTACTGTGCAGTTCTCTTCAAATGGAACAGGAATTTGCCCGTCTCCTGGGTTTCGGATCTCGTGCTTCCTGATCCTTCACACACACACAAGATGTGCACATTGTTTCAGAAAGTCTTCGGAGGCCAAGGCGGAAAACACTGTTGGAGAGGCTGTATATTACACAGTTACAAAAACTATTGCTTATAGCAAGCCAGGTGGTTAAGAAGGACAGTGTTGGATTGTCCAAGACACGAGAACTTTCTAGAAGAAAGTAAATAATATACGGAAGCCATAGCATGTAAAATACACTGGTTATCCTAAATAAAACCATGGCATAGCGACGATCAGGGCTGTGTCCTGTCTCTCTAGAGGCATCTACCTCATGGCTAGGGAATCGGGCCCTCCGGTCATTTATCTCTTTGGTGTGCTGCCGGCAAATTTTGAAAATGTGAAAGTAAGTGAAGCAGACAACCAAGGCAGCAGGCGCATAGAGTAAACAAACAATAAAGCACGTAAAATAGGCACTGGTGAGCCAAGACGTGGCACACCACTCAAAAATGTCACCGTGGTAACCAGGTTTGCCCCAGCCAAAAAAGGAAGGCAAAAAAATTAGGCAGGAATAAATCCAAATCATAATAATGCAAATTCTCAGTCGACAAGGGGTGACCAGTTGATTGTAGGAAAGAGGCTTCGTTATTGCAAGATAGCGATCCACACTGATACAAGCAAGACAGGCCATAGAAACACTTTTTAAAACTGAAATAATATATCCAAACACCTGACAAGTCAATGATTCGTGGACACCTGTAGAGTAATGGAGAAGGGACAGAGTAGGAACCAAGCAGGTAACTCCAACGAAGAGGTCAGCATATGCCATTGTCTGTATGAAGTAGCTGGTAGTATAATGGTGTAACAGTGGAGCACAATGAAAGACAAAGATGACTGTTAAATTCCCAGCGATGATTAGAAATGTCAGCAAGACAATAACAACTGTCTCAAAGATGCAGACATCCTCCACACTGTAGTGACCAAATCCAAGTGGGCAGGAGTGATGCTCGGATACATTCACAATGCTACTGCTCATGTTCAGGATCCTCCATTCAGTCCACCTGGATTCATTCATGGCTTGGAATTACGGGAATTTGTAGCTTTGGCTCCAGCAAGCAGGTGTCTGTGCCAGCATCTGTTAAACTCTGCAAATCAGTGTCTCAAAACCTGCTTCAGTAGAAAGTGCCAGTGCCTGTATTACAGCTGAGCATCCAAGTGTGCTCAGGTCTCTTCATCAGCCTTAGTTCACCAGTGACACATCTCAGCTTTGGGAATAGAGGAGGAGGAGGGTGAGCTAGAAAGGTGAAAAGAGGTCTCTGGTTAGCTCCCTCCGGTGCTTTCAAGCAACTTTTGCAGATACAGGCACTTCTAAAGAAAATGGATTTATTAGCTAGTACTACGAAAAATTAAATCTGTAAAAAAAAAATTGTCAAGGTAAGAAATGTTTCTCTCAAGATAGAGTTTCTTAGAGATCAACTAGAAAGAAAAATAAAAGGAACAGTCTTAAACTGTCTGAGGTCTCCTGCTTTACCTGTGATGAACTATGATGAAAAATGCATTCATATTTTAGAATTTAAGAAATTAAGATCTTAGTTTTAGAGAAAGCCAAGAAAACGTTCATGTGACAAAGAGTGTCCTTGGCCTTAGTTCACATCTGATGCTAATGGGAAAACTTTAGGACCCATTTCTCTTTCATTTTTTAAAAGGTAAGAACAATAATTCTAACAAGACTAATTCCAAAAGAATCATTTGTATGAGCACAATGAGGTACATGGCTCCAGATTGCTATATAATGCTTATAAGAATAAAAGACAATTTCAAGTAGGGACGATTTTACACAATGAATTCATATAACAACACCTAAAACTAAAGAATAGAACAAATGTCTGAAGTTCTAATTCTCTATTCATTCTTTAAACGTTTATTTGAAAACAGTTATAGACCACCTCAGTTGCTGATACTTCTGATAGCAATGTAATTTATATCTTTTATTTCTAAATAAGACCTTTGTTATAACTTCAGCTTCTGTAACTGAAAATAACTTTCATTATTTGGTATGCTATCTCCTTATAAAGCATAATAAATATATAGCCTGAAGTAATTCCTCACATTTGAAACAATGCTCAAATCTCATAAATATAGATGAAATTTAGACAGTGATGAAAACGTCCCTGCACATTGAGCACACTGCACTAGAGATGCTGCTGGGATCTGTCACTTCATATTCCAATTTGTTACAGCTTTCCTATTGCCATTAGATGATTAACACATTAAATCATTACTTCAACTAAATATTTGAAAGTGGAAATTTACCTTGTTTATTATGTATGCAGTTATTAGCAGCCATATGCTAAGAAAATGCCTCTTCTGTTTCTGTATTCTATTTTAAGCAAAAGCTCAATTAAAGCAGGGTCATCAGGTAGGCTGGGAAATAGTCTTGTTTTAAAATAACTCAAAACATCAAGATGGGTTTAAATCCTGGACTTTGACATACTACGATTCTGGCAGGGCAGAATCCATCCAAAAGGCTTCCAAGGTCATTCTGGCACCGAGTTAACATTTGCCAAAGTCTTTTTCCCAAGTACAAGCAATTCAGGGGGTCTCTTGTCACTCTTTGTTGTCATAGCTTTTGAAGAAAGAGCATGCATTAGAAATGAAAACATTTCCTTCAGGAACAATGTAGCAGCTTAACAGAAAGCATTCTTCTCAAAGTTATTTTCTCGTGCAGCAACACATCATTCAGGGAAGTCCTTTTTTTATGTCAGCCACAGGATATTCCTCCTTGGACATGCTGAGTTTCACTTATCACAAAATAGTTCTCTTGTTACAGGAATAAGGTAATGCTTCTCACTCACAGTCACTCTTATCATCTGTGAAGCTGGGCTGCTTGATTCAGAAGTCCGATTTACTGTGATGCAGTTATCAGGATGCTGCCGGAGATTCTTCACAGTTTCTCAGTCTTGCTGCCTCCACCTGAGCCAGCGTCTGCTCCTCCTCCTCATCCCAAGCTGATGCAGAAGAACTCACCATCAGAAAGGTGACTCGGTCCTCCTGCCCCAATCAACAGCACAGCCAATGGCTATTGCAGCTGAAACTGTCACTAGGTAACAGTTGCCAGGCACATGCAGGCTTATAGACTTACTCTGCAAGCTCCGATCAAGATTGACAAAAGAAGACAATGGAACTGACCAATCCTTATAATATGTAAACGGCACTTAAGGGCTCCTGGAGGCATTCTCCTTACAGCATTTGTAGAAATTATTTCATATGAATACTACTAGGAAAACAAAACTGGCATATACCTTTTAACCTTGTAGAGAAAGTACCACACTGTACTATGACACACACACACACACACACACACACACACACACACACACACACAAAGAAAGTCAGCAGTAATCTAATACTCTTTGGATGAAAAAACTTATGAATTATTAAAAATCATTTAAATTCTCATGAACCAAATTGATATAACTACTGTTTCTTTACTATAAAGCAAATGGTTATATTTTGATTAGAAATTAAAAGTCATTTACTCATCTCTCCAATATCTGCCACACCCACATGAATGTGCTGAGCTTGGCACACTGACCTGCACAACAAAACACCAGGAAAGGATCAAGACATTGAAACCTATCTGGAGAAATACCAGGGCCAATATGATCTAAGAGGGCAGGGGGCATCAGAATAAATAGAAGCACTAGTCCACGGTTATCCTTGTATACCAAATGTGTCAAGAGCTAAAGAAATTCATTCCACAGTGCTCGAGTTACATATATTTAAGTTAGTAGAAGCAAAATAAATATTTGCTCAAGTATTTGGTGTATATTAAAACATTTTTATTTGGGTTTACTTACTATATGCAATCCTTTATTTTAAACCTATTTTGATGGTTCATTACATTAAAAAAAAAAAACACCAGAACAAAATTTACAATTGCTATAGGATTAAAGCAAATCAGGAAAACAAAGATTCCAATGGAAGGTAAAACTTATTGAAAACATGACCTATATGCCAAAATTTGCCCTATATGCTTTTATACTTTTTCTTCATAAAATTCTTCAATCTCAGGCCTGAGATTGCTCAGTAGATAAAAGGCACTTGTCACCAACAACCCTGACAATACAAGTTTGATCCACACCCATGACACTGTGGAAGGACAGAACAGATGCCCATAAGTTTTCCTCTGACTCCTACATGTGCACCCTGGCACAAGCATGCGGTGTGCATTGTAGTGTTATCTCCTCCCCATTCCTTCCTTCCCTTCCTATCTCCCCTCGTTCCCCCTTTGCCTCCCTCTCCCTCCTTTCTCTCCCTCTTTCAGTAAACAAATATATGTAATATTACTAAAGGTTAAATCTCTATGTAATCAGTATAGTAACTAATTCCTAAGTGAACAAAGTGGGGACTACAGAAGGGAAAAATGGCTTGACTTCAACTAGAGTTAAGAAACTGGGACTAAAAATGGTCAAAATTGTCATTCATAACACTGCACCACTAAATCACATCCTCTCTTTTTGTCTAACAGCTTCTAACATATTCAGAAAATGCATTAGAAAAATTTCATCAGGTTTTATAAAAATGGCTTACAGAGTATAGAAAGCCTATTCTGTGCCCTATGGTAAACTTTTGTTCTTGAAGATTGTTTTTCTAAACTTTATGGGTGGAGTCAAATATAGAAAGATAAGTACACTTCTCACTTCTCAACAGAAATATTTATGAGACAAATTAGAATAGTAAATCTTAGAATGAATATACTTAGTTTTGAAAAGAAAATATTTAAGTATATTGCAAAAGTTACAATGTATTCTTTTGCAGAGAAACATTGTACTTAACACTGATACCTAAAACCTTTTAAATTAAGATAAGAACAAGATAGGGTTTCCCTGTGTAGCTCTGACTGTCCTGGACTCACACTGTATACCAGACTGGCCTCAAACCCAGAGAGCTACCTGAATCTGCTTCCCTAATGGTATTAAAGACATGCGCCATCATGCCGGCTAAGATAATATTCTTAAACATAACAATAAATATTCAAAATAAAATTATATTTGATAGCTATTCATTGATTTAGACATGTTATACAGTCCATACTAAGAAAAGTAAAATGCTAAGCTTACTACAAAACAATTTTAAAAAGTCAAGTACTAGGAGCTGGAGAGATGCCTCAGCAGTTAAGAGAGCTCTTACAGAGGACCCACCCAGCTTTGGCTCCCAGCACCCATGTAGCAGCTCACAACCACCACAAACTCAAACTCAAATCCTAGGAGATTTGATTCCATCTTTTGTCCTGGGCAGGCTCCTGAACAGAAAAGTGCACACTACGTACACTAAAGCACATATACATATGTATAAATTTAAATTAATAAACCTAAAAAGAGTTTTTAAAAATTAAGTGCTATTAATCACTATTACTACTCAAGTTACCAAAATTAAAATCATTTAAAAATAGACACATTTTCAAATAGTTTTGAATTATAGTGTCCCTAAAATTAAGGAAATGGTGAACAAATGCACACACATACAAAAACCGACCTCATTTAGAGGAATTCAAGCACTAGATTGTTTTAGTTTCACATATTTCCAAAACAAAACAGTAGGAAGAATTTTAATCTAAAAGTATTATAAGCAATTCCAGGATATAAGGTCATGGTGGGAAAGAGAATTTACAAAGCAGTACTTTTCACCCACTAAGCCTCCATCCTTCCTTCTACTATCTTACAAAAGGAAAGCTCCAACAAAGCATACTTCCCTTTATACTTGACTCTTCTGGTCCCTGAATTTCTTTGTATCAGTTTTTCTGGTGCGGCAATTACAGGAAATAATTTAGATTGTGGAGCTTCAAAAACAAAAGAGCAGGTACATATACTTAGCCCATCACATATACCATTCTTTTTAATTCAAGAATCATTCTTTTCTGGATAAAGAAAATGTGGTACATTTACACAATGGAGTACTACTCAGCGGGGGGGGGGGGAGAAACAAAACAATGGAATCTTGAAATTCACAGGCAAACTAGAAGTGAAACTAGAAGAAACCATCCTGAGTGAGGTAACCCAGTCACAAAAAGACAAACATGGTATGTACTCACTCATATATGGATATTAGACACAGAGAAAAGGATTACTAGCTTACAACCCACACCTCCAAAGAAGCTAGGAAACAAGAACCTAAGAGAGACATATATGGTACCCCAGAGAAGGGGAAAGGGACAAGATCTCCTGAGCAAATTGGGAGCATGGGAGCAGGGAGTTAGGAGAAAAGATGGGGAAAAGAAGAGGAAGACATGAGGGACCAGGAAGATTCAGTCAGGGGAAGAATAGAGGAGAGCAAGAAAAGAGATTCCATAATAGAGAGAGTCATTATAGGTTTAAAGAGAAATCTGGCACTAGGCAAATGTCCAGAGATATACAAGGATGACCCCAACTAAGATTCTAAGCAGTAGTGAAGAGGCTACCTAAAATGCCCTTCCCCTATAATGAGATTGATGACTACCTTATATGCCATCCTAGAGCCTTCATCCAGTAGCTGATGGAAGCAGAAGCAGAGACCCACAACAAAGCACCAAGCCAAATTCCTGGAATCCAGTTGTAGAGAGGGAGGAGTGATAGTTGCAGAGACAGAGGAGTGATGAGCAAAGGGGTCAAGACCAGGCTGGGGAAACCCACAGAAACAACTGACCTGAACAAGGAGGAGCTCATGGACCCCAGAATGACTGCTTGGAAACTAGCATAGAACGGAAGTAGGCTCCCTGAACATGGGTGTCAGTTAGGAGACCTGAGCAGTCTATGGAGCCTCTAGTAGTGGAACAATATTTATACCTAGTGTACAAATGGACATTGGGAGCCCATTCCCCATAGAGGGATACTCTCTCAGCCTAGAACACATGGGAAGCGCCTATGCCCTGCCCCAAATGATGTGACAGACTTTGATGATAAGAGGGAGAGGGAACTGGGATTCATATATAAAATAAGATCCTTTCTAATTTCAAATTTAAAAATATCTTTTAAAAGAATCATTCTTCTCATTTTAGGGGTCTAGGTGTCACTGCTACTCTTTCCATCATCATTACAAACTACCTTCCTCTCCTTTCAATTGATGAGTGCTAACCAGGAAAAGAAAAATCTCAAGAATATCTTTAGTTAGGCTTACTTTATAATTACTTCTTAAAATCCCAAACTGTAAATTATTTAGTACTTATATACTATATAGTGTATCTCATGTATTATTTTATATATATTTTATATATATTTATATATATTTTCATTATTAAAAATCCAAACAATTACCTAGACAACAGAGTAAGTGTGGTAGTTTGAATGAGAATAGTCCCTCATAAGCTCATATATTTGAATGCTTAGTCCACAGTTGGTGGAACTGTTTGGGAATAACTAGGAGGTGTGGCATTATTGGAAGAGGTGTGTCACTGGGGTTAGGAGTTGAAGTTTCAAAAGCCTACCCCACTCCAAGTTAGCTCTCTTTGCCTTGTACTTGTAGATCAAGATGCAAGCTCTAAGCTACTGATCTATTACCATGTCCGCCTACCTGCTACCATGCTCCCCACCATGATTGTCATGGACTCAAATCTCTGAAACTGTGCCCCTCCACCCAAAATTCTTTCTTCTGTAGTTTGCCTTGGCCAAGTGTCTTATCACAGCAGGGGAAATGCAACAGTAAGGCAAGATATAACTGTTAATGCAAAATTGGGCAAATAACGATTGCCAAAGAACCACACAAGCAGTACAGTAACATTACAGAACACTGGAGAAGCTCAATTAAATTTCATCTCCGGCGGTAGTGGTGCATGCCTTTAATCCCAGCACCTGGCAGGCAGAGGCAGGCGGATCTCTGAGTTTGAAGCCAGCCTGGTCTACAAAGTTAGTGCCAGGATAGGCTCCAAAGCTACACAGAAAAACCCTGTCTTGGAAAACAAAAACAAAAATCAATTAAATGTCATCTCTTAAGATATTTTAAAAAGAAAGCAAAAAATGTTTGCATTCAGACTTTAGTTCCTCAACCACGCCATTTCTCTGTATCCACTGTCATGACCTTAGAAAAGTCAGTATCACTTTCTATTTAGATGACAGCAGTGGCTTCCAATCTGGTCTGTATTGATGATGGCTTCTTTTCAATCTATCATGCACAAAATGAGTATCTTTTCCAAAATTCAAAACGAATCATGTCACTTCCTTCCTTAAAATACTTGACTTTTATTGCGCATTTTATGAAAGGTCCTATAAGGGGAGCAAATATTTGCTTTGTTCACCAACATATCGAAAGTGCTGATATTATACTGCTGAGCAATGAATAGGAGTTTCACAAACAAATGTCTAACATAGTTATTTGTATTTAAGAAAAATAGTACAACAGAAAAATACAGTTTCTGTAAGATTAAAATAAACAAAGTTCTTTACTGCCCCTTGTACAACAAAGACTTCCAAGAAGAAGAAATATGACCAAATTGCAACAGAGAAAAGTAGGTTGAGGAACTAAAGTCTGAATGCAAACATCTTTTGCTTTCTTTTTAAAGTTATCTTAAGAGATGACATTTAATTGATTTGTTTTTGTTTTTTGTTTTTGTTTTCCAAGACAGGGTTTTTCTGTGATATTGTACTATAGTTCTGTGATGTGTCATCATCAGGGAAATAGAGAAAAGGATGCTTGTAAGCCTACCTGTTGTTCCTGACATACACATGACACCACAACAATCACCAAGTCAAAGCATAATTAAATGCAAAATGTTAAAAATACAACAAAAAGCTTGAATTTAAGGGTTTAGATTCTAAGAACTAGAGACAATGTTCAGTGGTTAACAGGGCTTACAACTTTTGCAGACAACTGGAGTTTCATTCCCAGCGCCCAGGTGGCTGCTCAGAACCATCTGTAACCCCAGTTCTGGGGGATCTGGCATCCTCCCATGTTCTCCATAACACCAGGCATATACATACATACATACATACATACATACATACATACATACATACATACATGAAGGGAAAACATACATACAGATAAGACAACAAATACTTTTAAATTTCAAAAGTGATGAAATTCTGACCTTCCTCAGTTCCCTAATCTTAATACACATGTCATGTGCTATCATACCCAGACAGTACATTTTCATCACCTGGGCTCTTGTGTATGATCGCTGAAAATATTACATAGAGTATGAATAATCATCCCAGAAAATGATGGTGTATATTCCAATAGGGTGCTTTGTTAAGCAAGCTTGGTAAACT